GGGAAAAATATCTAAAATAAATATATGCATAATATATATGCTTATATATGTACACGTATATATACACACACATAAACTGTTGGGATGGTGTTTAGGTCTGTGCACAGCATGATGCTTTTTCTGGTTTTCCATTTGTGTCTGTTACGGTTGCAGCATAGGTACTATAATGGTTGGACGGTGTGGGTCAGTTGCCACTGCATGGATTACTGGCTATGGTCTGAGAAAGTTCAAACATCTCTTGGTTCCTATTTTGGAACATTTGTTACAGAAAAAGGTAAATCTTGGACTGGTTTAATTTAGTAGCTCTACTTGTATTTCAGTAGCACCTACTGCTTCTTGATACCAGTCTTGTCATGACAGAGTACAGATCTTGATGTTTCAATGAGGTTTCAGTGTGAAACTGAAGATAATAATGATGCATAGGACAGTCTTATTCTCCTTGCTTCCTCCACGTAAACCCAGTAGGAGGATGGTGTCTGGTAGCTCTGGCCACCCGCAGCTGGTGATTCTGGCTAAAACACGTTTTAATGGCCATTGCATGTAACACCTCTTGTTCCTTCACTCCTGTGAAAGACGCTGCTCCTTGGTAGACCCACTCTTTACAGAGAGATGAGAGAATTGGGGAATATCCACAGGGATTCAAAAATATGCTTTGGCTGTTTTCTCAAGAAACTGTTAATTTGAGAAGAACTGAAATGCATGCATAGTTTTTATAGCTTTACAGAAGCTTATGATATGGTCTGATACTTAAGCTGCAATGAAAAAACTTGAAATCTTGCAGAAGACTGTGAAAATGGAGTAATTCTGTGTTTGACTCGGAGAAGTAGCATTATGCTTGTCCCATTTGATGGTGTGTCTTCCTGTTGATGTTTCCATGATACCTGTAGTATTCTTTTAACGTGACTGTAGAAGAGTATGGAAGATTGCTGTAAAGCCTACAGGAGGAGTTGCATTTAAATGACTTGTATCAACGTTTTGGCTCTTCTGAGCCATAGAGTGTGATACAAAAAATTATTAATGATTTGAAGGGACGGGCAAGAGAGATTTTTAGAAAAAACGGGTTTGTAAGCTTATGAAACGATCTTGGAAAATTTGACCTTGTGGCAATAACATAAACTGGTTACACAGTTTAATAACAAGAAAATGATGATCTGAATCTTGGGACCAGTAGGGAATACTGAAGAGTTAAACAGAATTGTGAAGAACAAAGTGAAATAAATGGAAATAATTTCAAAAAAGTTGAATAGCAGTCTTGTTCATGATTATGGAAAACAGCTCAGTTGAATGTTCTTTGGAAGACTGTCTTTACGCATTCTGCCTTTTGATTGTCCTTAGAGAAGGCGGGTGTTAATAAGGATTTTAATGTGAATTATGATCAACAGCAAGAGCATGTAGTGAATGAACTAGATGGGGCCATTTGTGAGAGTGTCCAGAGATGGGAGAATTGATGTGTAGCAGATAAACATGGGATTAATATTGAACAGAGGGGAGAGACCAACCTCCTGAATTGCTACTAATAAGCACTAATGAGTGAACATCAGCCATCCTTTGTGTCAAAAAAGGCAGGCAATTTACTAATTAAAAATAATCCATAAGGTGGCTTCTCTTTTTGTATTCTGCCTGTAAAATATGCATGCAAGTGAAGCTTGGAGGCAAAGTAGCAAAGTGATCCTATATAAGGATGATTTTAGAGTTCATTGCCTTAATGCTTACGCTCCTTTTAGAAGTGTTGTTTACTCCCTTCCATCTCTGTGTGTACACGTTCAAGACAAGAAAAAAATCTTTTTGGTAAGACTCGGTGTTAAGTAATGGAAATAAAAGATATTGCCATTTCTCCCGTTACCCTAACATTCCTATTAATGGATACAGTGTACAATGTACAGTGCTTTAAAGCTTGAATAAATACTATGTTCAGCTGAAACTATGGAGATGAGATGAAAATGGGTAGAATGTACTTATTCTTCTTTATTTTGTACATGAAGTACTTCCTGTTCTCATCGTGCTTTTTATACACTAAAGTCATAAGATATTAGTAAAGCACAGTTCCTTTTCCCTAATTATGCAGTATAATTGGAAATTGCGGGCAAATCTCCTAATCTCCATAGTGACAGCAGAACATTTATCTAATTAGTAGTTTGCCTTTTGGCATTACTTTGAATAAATTAGCATTTCATTAGATACCCTGGGCTACTGGGAAAAAGTTTCCCAGAGTAGTATTTAGTCTTTCTTCTCTAAAGAGTGTATTTTGAATTAGCATAGGTTAATAATATCCTTTAACTGGAAAGATACAGAATAGTAATACTTTTGTTATTTTTAATATCGGAGGGCTGCGCTTGGAGGTTCTTTGCTTTCTTTAATTCCCAGGAGTCAGAGTAAAAACTTATGTCAC